GTTGACTTTGTTTCTCTGTGGCCTGTGAGCGGGAGTTCCCTCATGATTCACCAGTATAAGGTCCGAAACGGTGATGCAGGCGAAGTGTTTGGCGTACGGGTCTATTATTGGGTTGAGGATGGGCAGAGGACAAAACGTTAGTATAGGATTACCTTCCCTCGTGCAGGGCCGCGTTTTGGGGCGAAAATTGTTTCATCTTGTGACCTCAGCACATAAATACATATATAATGTCTTTTGATCGAGAAAAAATGAGGGTGCATTACTGATCTAGAAATAGTTCGGATTCACAGGGTCTGGAATAAAACGTCAGCTTAGCACGATCATATGGAATAAATACAATGAATGATATCGTACCTCTCAAACTTATGTGTCCCGATGCGCCATCAGCAAACCCCAACTTCGCAAATATCCGGAAGGCACCTGCCATGTGGTTTTTGGCCCATTTTTGCTCTTCTTCTTTACTCTCAAAAGTGGGGATCTAATGGAGAGAGTGGTTAGCAGGTTTGTTGGAATCTGAAGCTCTGTTGACGAGCGTAGTTGTTCCGGTAGTAGCTGTGGCCGTGACTATGGTCATAGTTGATTGATTGATTGACGCCTTTCTTTGCTCTGCTTGCGCCGGATACTGGGGATTTTCGGAAGGCAGATGTGGTTCGTTTTATACCGTCTATCGGTACAGGTTGAAATGGTTAGAAGAATTGGCGGAAGCTTTTATCCGATCAGATATGCTGGCTCAGAACTGCCACAACAAAGATAGCCTGATAATTATCGAGCAAACGGCCAAAGTGAAAATGCCCTGACCATCATCGGACTCTCTTCTTACTCAAGTTAACCACCTCTTGTTTCGTTATGCGGGGTAGGGAACGATCAGGGTAGCATTCAACGACAATTCATACTAGCCACCAGGCCCAATTCTATTCTCGAACTTCTCGCTCCAGCGGTATCTGCTAATCACAGAGCTCAGGAGAATGCTCACCGTGTCTCCCAACGCCCAATCTCCGAACCGAACATTCAAGTTCGGTTCCATTTGCACCTTGGTCTCGACACAGGACAGCCGAATGCGGGGGTGGTGTCTTAGGATCTAGTCCGACGGTGGGGTGGTGCTTCTTGTCTGATGAACACATTTTCATATTGAAGAATTATACAAGTTCATGTTCTCTTCTAAATCGAAGGATCAATGTGTACTAGTATTGTCTCCAGGGTTCCCGCCCCTTGAGCTTATCTTATCCGAGACTCTAGAGTCAAATTGAGATCCGAAATTACTTCTCGCTTAAACACCTCAATTATACTAACACTTCATACGTATATAACGTTCTATCTTATGAAATTCCAATTCTAATAATTAATTATTTTTATTTTTATTTTAATTATTTTTTTTTTTCAAATAGAAGTACACTGATTATCTATCTCCAAGTTTTCTCACGTTGCATCTTTTGAAAGGTGCGGGTATCAGCTGAATCGCTTGACCACTCCGTCCTCTACGCAGCTTCAAAGTATTCCAAGACCAATAATTTAACAAGTACTAGTATAAATACACAGATTGGAATTCGTGGATACTTCTTTAGCCGGCATCTTCTGGAGGTAGCATACGAGCACATAACACATAACAAAACAATGTCACCGTCTGCTACAGGCGCAAAACCCAGAGTCCTAGCCTTCAGCTATCCCGCATACACGAGCGAGGAATATTTAGCCGACTTCAAGTCAAAATATGATTTCCATGTATACAATCTCCTCTCCATACCTTCTAAGCATCTGTGCAGCTCTCTATTAAAAAGAGAAAACATGTGCTAATATCTCGCAACTATAGGTCCTTAAATCCCCAGGCCGCGCAGGCGCCATCCCCGAAATTGCCGAGCTCGTCGCTTGCAAGGGGCCTTTTGACGCTGTCATGGTGCGAATGGGCACTCTGCCATTCGAGCCATTCGATGAGGAGCTCCTAGGGCCCCTGGCGCCGCATTGCAAAATCATAGCCTCGGGCTCTGCGGGTTACAACGAGTTCGACGTCGATTGGATGACGCGCAGCAAGATCTGGTTCTGCAATACCCGCAATGCAGTGTCTGAGGCCACGGCGGATATGAGTATGTTCCTGATCCTGGCTGTGTTGAAGAATGCAACGGTGGCGGAGAGGTCGGCTAGGGAGGGACGGTGGAAGGATGGGCTTGTGCCGACGAAGGATCCTAGAGGTTTGACGTTGGGGATTGTGGGAATGGGGAGTATAGGGAAGGTTGGTATATGGACTTTCTTCCTTCTTTGGTTGATATTCGTGGTTGGATATGAGCGGCCTCCCTTGTTTCGGGAAAGCAATCTCTACCATGTCATGGCGGCCATGGCACAAACAGAGCGTATATATTTTCCCCCACAGGCCCTGCATTCCACCCATTATTACTGGGGGTAATGGATTGGAACCTGAAACAGGGTCGTGGTTTTTATGAACAAAAGTTCTAACATCAGTGCGATCACCAAAAAGCACCTCGCCCGCAAAGCGCTAGCCTTCAATTTGAAGATAAAATATTACAACCGCACCCAACTCCCCGCAGACGTTGAGGCTCAATATTCCGCCACATATTGCGCCTCTCTCGACGAGCTCCTCTCCGTCTCCGACATCGTTTCCATAAACTGTCCCCTGAACGCCGCCACTACAGGCCTAATCGGGCGCAAAGAGTTCGGTAAAATGAAGGATGGCGTGTTCTTCATTAACACCGCCCGTGGAATGATCGTTGACGAAGGTGCGCTTATCGATGCCCTGGAGTCGGGCAAAGTGAAGATGGCCGGGCTGGACGTCTTTCCCAACGAGCCGGAGATTAAGTATGTGCTCCCTAATGTTTTTATTATATGTATACATATTTGTCTATGCAACTGGGTAGAGCGGAAGAAACGAGCTGACACAACTTTTCCCAAACAAAAAAAAAAAAAATTTTTTTATAGCCACTATTTCCGCACCAGCGACAGAGTCATCATCCAGCCTCATTTGGGTGGCCTGACTGATGGGGCATTCAGCTTGTCCGAGATGGAATGTTTTGAAAACATCAAGGCCTGTTTATCCACGGGAGCAGCACTGGCGCCAGTTAACTTTGTGGAGAGATAGATAAAGCTGGAGGGGAAAAAAGAAATAATAACAAGTGAGAATATAGACAAAATGGTACCAGAATTTTTATTGCTTTCATATCCGGTCCACATATATACAGTTTAGAGCCTCGTTTTGCTCGTTCAGTGGATCCGTGGACTGTTGCTTTTGCTTTTGCTTTTGCTTTTGCTTTTGCTTTCCCTTCGCATTTGCTATGATATAATTAATATTATATTTGGGGGAACTTTGGA